AATTTTTGTGCACCGGGCCTCTAGTATATATATAAAAAAAAGTAAACTCCATTTTATTCACTCAGATTTCATTAGTTTTTCCCTACTCTCCCCTTTCTGTTCTAAGATCCCATGTAGGATACACAGTATATTTAGTTGCCATGTCTCCTCAAGCCCCTCTTGGCTATGACAGTTTCTCAGGCTTTCCTTGTTTTTGATGACCTTGACAGTTTTGAGGGTTACTAGTGTACAAATATTTAAAGTGGAACATGATTTGCATAGTTCAAAGTATTGTCCCAAGAAATTTATTTTATTTTTATTTTTGTTAATCCTTATCTGAGGATATTTTTTCCATGGATTTTTATTTCTTTTCTTTTTTTTTTAGAGAGGGTGGAAGGGAGGGAATGGGGAGAGGAGAGAGAGAGAGGGAGAGTGAGAGAGAAACATCAATATGATAGAGACACATCATTTTGTTGCCTCCCACACGCCTGGGATCAAACCTGCAACCCAGATATGTGCCCATGACTGGGAATCAAACCCAAAACCCTTTAGTGCACAGGCCAACGCTCTAACGACTGAGCAATACCAGCCAGGGCCCAAGCAATTTATTAATTACAAAGGAGATGTAAACTTTTCAGTGGAGGAATCCAGCAGACCACAACCAAGTGATTGAGGCAGGCATGAGTTTGAATCTTAGTTCCTTCATTAAACAGCTATATAACTTTGGGCTAGTCGCTTAATTTTTCTAGAATTTATTTTTCCCACGCATTAATCCAGGGATAATTATTTACAATTTAGCTTTCCTTTGAGGATTAACTGAGATGTAATACATGTCCATGGAAGGTAGCTGATAATCAGTAAATATTAGGGTTTTTTCCTTCCACTTTTTTGTTTCTTCTGGCATTTGGTTCCGTATAATTAATGCTTATTTATGTTTTTAATTTAGCCAACTAATGAAAAACATAGACTAACAGCATGCTCTTTAAATTCAAATGGAAGCAGTTTGGATTTATACATTGATTTAAAGTACTTTTACTAATTTTTTTCAAGTGGCTGCATAATAGGCATTTAGTATGTATGTATTTATTCCTAACATATTTATATATTTATTATAAGATGGCCTGATAATGTCCATTTATTTCTTTAGATGTAGAAGATCTTTATGAACCAGTGTCAGTCCCATTCTCATTCCCCAATGGACTCAGTGAAAATACCTCTGTTGTTGAAAAATTGAAACATATGGAAGCCAGGGCACTGTCTGCTGAAGCTGCATTAGCTAAAGCACGTGAGGATCTTCAAAAAATGAGGTAATTTATCAGTCTTATAAAAAATTGTTTAGACCCCCCCCCCCCAACAAAAATAATACAACTAATAATAAGATAGGATATGGTAAGGCATTTTATATACTGGAAAGTACAATGTAGATATTTAATTTTAATATATTACAGCAATGCAACAATATTTTTATACATTGTGACATTGTTGATGAACATAAAGTTCTCATATATTTTATCATTTTATACTAATGATAATTGTTCTGGGGAATGTTGTCTTCTTAAGTGTTTTTGTTCTTTGATGCTGCCTTCCTTCGAATTACCCTATTTCTAATAGATTTCTCCATTTTACTTTTCCTCTCCTAGGCTTTTGTGTTGTTGTTAATCCTCACCCAAGGATATTTTTTCCCCTTGATTTTTAGAGAGAGTGAAAGAGAAGGAGGGAGGGGGAGAGAGAAAGAGAGAGAAACATCGATGTGAGGGAGACACATCGATTGATTGCCTTCTGCTCATGCCCCAACCTGGGGGCTGGGGTTGAACCTGCAACCCTTTGGTGTGAGGGCCAATGCTCTAGCAACACTGGCCGGGCTCTTCTCCCAGGCTTTTAAAGTGGTGGGATTAATATTTTTAGGTTTGGGAGGAATACGGGGTTAAAATGTTTGCTTTTAAAGAATCAAAATATAATTATGGTATAGTATTTAATCAGAACACCAGACAATTATGATGGTTTTCTCCAGTGAGTAAATTAGCATTCTACTGGCTTAGTACTTCTCAGAATTTAATGTGCATGTAAATCACCTGGGGATCTTGTTAAACTGTGGATTCTGATTCAGGAGGTCTCAAGTAGGGTGAGATTCGGCCTTTTTACCAAGTATACCTCTAGCTTTACCTTCTGGATTTGTAATTTGGTTGTTGCCCGAGTACCCACTTGATCGTTTGAGTAGGAAGGACAGTATAGCTGATTGCAGTTCCCCTTGCCTGTTTCTGAGATTTTATGCTGGGTAACCTACTAACCACCAATAACTCTACTGTCTGCATCTTTACACTTCTTCCACATGCATACCTTACAGATTCTTAATATATGATCAGAGAGGGAACTAAATTTTAGAGCTGAAGTGGATGGTGTTGGTGTATGTAAATCTCAATTTGGGTCCACTTTCTACCCATATAACTCTTTGATGAGATAATAGGTTTTAAAGAATATTAATAGTGTCAAAATATAGTATTACATTGATTCAGCTACTAAAATAAGCTTTTGGAATATTAAGAATAATAAAGTTGAATAAAGGTAATGTGCTTATTTTATTCAGTTGAAAGATATAAACAGCTATAATCTGCAGTTGGCAGGGCTTTGTGGTTTGCAGAAGGAATGCTTACAACTGGGTTTGAATATGCCATTGCTTGAGATCCAGCAGGGGGAGCTTTCAGTTGCTTACGATAGAATTATTTAGAAAGCTCATCACATTCTACTCACTCCTGCCCCCCCCCCCTTCCTCTTCCTCAACCTCTAGCCTTCCCTTTTTCATGGTCCAATAAACCTGTCTCAAGGGTGTATTTCAAATTGATTACAGACAATTTGCTCAGGATTTTGTGATGAACGCAGATGTCAGAACCTGGTCGGCATCTACTACTGCCATTGCAGACCTTCAGGAGGATGAGGATGGTGTTTATTTCAGCTCATACGGGCATTATGGGATACATGAAGAAATGCTAAAGGTTAGAAAAGAGCACAAATGCACCAAATCCATAATTAAGGAAAATTTTAATAAGACAAGTCCTTAATACATATGCTATAGGAAACTGGTTTCTGGTTTTTTGTTGTTGTTGTTTTTTTATAACTGCTTTTCAAATCTCTTTGATGCTTGATAGCTCATCTTGTATTAAAAAGATTGCAGAAGCATCAAAGTCATTTAACTTCTGTTTAAGATCATTATTAATCTTTGTTATGGAATTACTTTTGCTTTAAATAGGACATTGGTAAAAAAACAACTGCTTTAGTCTTCTCAAGAACAACTATTAAATATGAATAAATTATATGTTTGCCTTAAAGTGTACAAAGGAAATGATTAATTTTAGTGTTTTAAATAGCTATACTGGCTTCAGTTTGGGCAAATAATTCCTTGGTACAAAGTTTATAAGTAATTTTCAATTGTTATGGCATAACTCTTTTACATTTGAAATCATTGATATATAGAGAAATTTTCTAAATTGGTTAAATCAGATATTTAAGTTTGGCTGGTTTTAATTTTTATAATAGTAATGTATACATAAAATACAAGTAGATTTCTAGTTATACCTGGTAGTTATAGATTTCTAGTTATATATTTCATCATGTATTATATTATACATTGTAAACTAGTAAGATGTAATTTTTCCGTTTAGTAAAACTGAAAATATCTAACTAGAGCAAAACAAATGTTGAAATATAAAACTTATTGAAAATTTTAGATGTTTATCTCTCTGAATTTTAGAATCCACGACCTTTTCTTGAAACGAACAAACAAATAATTCCTTTCTGAATGATTCCTCAGAAGATTGTTTTGTTATGGAAGCCTCAAGACTATGTTCCCCTAAAACATATACATTTGAAATAACCAGGGGATTTAATAATATATATATTTTGTTCATTCAGTTTTATAGATTCAAAGAGGGAAGACTTGCTGATTAATAGTAACTTAATTACTTAAGGTTTTTTTAAAGCAGTGTCATGTCATTTTTTTTAGTAATGACATGTCATGTCATGGTTGTGCTTCTTGTTGTCACTTGGGTAATGGCATAGCATTACAAATAATGGTTATCTTATTAGAACTAATATATTATTTTAAGTCCAGAGTGAAATTGTATAAAAGAAACTCACTTCATTTTTTTTTTGTGATGGTTGTTAAAATTAATTTTATTGTGTCTAGAATATTTTCCTTGAAGTAGTTAATCTAAGCCCATGTTTGTCCTTTTACATCATCCTATCAATCTGAATGCCATAAACCTTTAATGCCTTTGGCATAGAAATTGTGTTGCATTTTTCAGAAAGATAAGCTTAAGACTCCCAGTAGGTAGTACATGTGAGTGTCTTTAACGCAGTATTCAGGGAATTCCACTTTGAGCACTTATTTCCAATACTCTGTCCTGGATACTTGTAGCTATATATCAATAACTATAAGATCTTTTTAAAAAAAAAAATTTTTTTTATTGACTTTTAGAGAGAAACAGAGAAACATCTATTAATTGGTCCACACCATTTTTGCCTTCATTGGTTGACGTCTCCTTTTTCCCCCATTGACCTTTCCCTGGCCGCTCCTACTCCCCAGCACATGCCCTCACCCCCTACTGTCTGTGTCCTTTGGTTATACTTTTATGCATGCATACAAGTCCTTTGGTTGATCTCTCACCCCTCCTCCCTCAACCCTCCCCTGCCTTCCCTGTGAGGTTTGACGATCTGTTCAATGCTTCTATGTCATTGGTTGACTCTTGTATGTGCCCTGACTGGGATCAAACCTGCAAGCTTTTTGGTGTATGTGACAATGCTCCAACCAATTGAGCTACCCAGAAGAGTCTAAAATTTTTTTTTAAATAGTCATAGGAATAATTCCTTGACTCTTACTAGTCTTAAAACAATATCTTGCTTTGCAGTATTGGAGCTCCAATTTTATTCTTTTTTTTGTGTGTTTCTTGGTTTCAATATGTTGGTGCAAAAGATGATTTTTTAATTTCTGTTTAGTACCTTATTTTGCAATTAAGTGTTACTCTTTTGATGAAATGTATTTTTAGAAATGGTTATGAGGGCTAGTCTTATATGCTTGCATTTTCGTATTCAGTGGATTTTTCTTTAAAACTTCAGTTATTAAATTGAAACTGCTCTGTCTGAGGCACTATGTTAGGTATACTTTGGATTTCATGGCACCAGGGTGAGCATATTAACAGTAACAGATGGATATATAGAAAGAGCCTGGATGAAGGATTATAGTTGAGCAGAGCAGCAGTGCATGAACTTAGGACAGAAGTTGGGATGGTAATGATTAAGTTGGAGCAGTGGTGAAGCAATGTGATTGGTGAGGGCTTTCCAAGTGACTGGCTTCTTGACTGATGTTCCCATTTGTAGGTTTTATTGTGTCAGCAAAAATTACTGCTTATGGTATACGAAGAGTATAAAAATGGCACATATGTATGAAATGCTATGTTTTTTAAGTTTTAAAATTAGTTAATATGTGTAAACGTATTTAAACAGATTTTTTTTTTTTTTTTAGTAATTCTTAAAATCTTTCAGGGAAAGATTTAACAAACCTGATTTAAAATGTTTAAAAAGCCATTAGTAATAACCATCAAAAAGTGTGGAATTAATTATGGAATTCCCCCTTTTTAGATCCAGTATTTAAGTAAAACAACTTTTCTTTTAATTTAAAGCTTCCTTTAAATGTTTTGTGTGTTGTTTTTAAATCATAATATTGGCGTAAAATTTTTTTTGGGGTTGTGTGCCTTCTATAAATTTTATATTGTAGTATTTTGTGTAACTATTTTTTGTTTTAATTTACCTAGTGTGAAACCCAAAATTAGAATTTCTAGTTTGAGATATTTTTTTCATTCTCATTTTACTCACTTGGCAACAGAGCCCTTTGCTGCTTATTTTGCTGTTTGTATGTATCTCAAGTGAGGTAATTTAAAAGGAAATCAGCTCTGTTCATGAACCAACATAAATGTTAGCATTCAGTACCTGCCTTGTCACAGGTCATGTGAGACTCCAGAGTTCAGAAGTCTCAGTATGTGAGCTGCAGGGCTCAAATGATTTACTTTTAAGCATCATTTCCTACTACAGACATTTGTAGAAGCAAGACAGGGTTATAAATCAGATAGGTGCTGACAAATGACTTTCTTAGAAAAACCATACTTACTTTAAGCTTCATTTTTCATATGTAACTTTACAGTTACCTATTTTGTTGTTTTTTTCTTCGATATTTTACAATAACTCTAATACAGGGAGCCAGGTTCTAGATTCCGAACCTATTTAAAGGAGCAAAATATCATGTTTATCTTCTATTAACTTTAACTATCAGTTGAAGGTTGAAGTCTTATAATGATAATGCATGTCAAGATGAAAATGTGTACATTTTTAAGAACTTAGATTTTATTTGACTTTCAGTGATATTCTTAAACTTTGTGTATGTTTTGTTGCTATTTTTGTTCTTACTGTTTTCTTTTAGGAAAGCAAAATTAATCTTGGTTTTCCAGGCAGAAAGTAGCTATGGAAACTAATAATGTGTAATAAAATACCAAATAACTTTCTAAAAATGTTTTTATTTGTTTAGACTATTCTATAAACACAAGTTTTCTTTTCTCCACCATAGGACAAAATACGAACAGAAAGTTACCGAGATTTTATATACCAAAATCCACATATCTTCAAAGACAAAGTGAGTGTCATAGGCTACAGAATTGTACATTTCATGCAGATCTTGGCCAGTAGAAATCCTCTCTTGAGTTATTGTGATAGCCATTGATTTAGTGTACTCCGGCTTTATTTCATGGGAGACTTTTATGATGTTGCTCTGTGGTGCAGAATACTGATAACCGAAATGCTGATTGGTACTGTTGTCATTCAGTATACAGACAATCCTTGGGTTACTTTGGACTCGATGTACATCGTTTCATGGTTACATCACCATCTCCCATTTATTATTAAAAAAAAAAGTTTCATCATTTCAACATATGTACATATGTGCTTTAAGTTTTTTATTATTTATTTACCACAAGTAAAGGTCAGGAATTGTTATCTTTCTTTTAATTTTTTTTTTTACTGTTTCACTTCATTATCGCTGTGTATGTGCTCCATGTGAGTGACGGAGGTGCTTATGTAGGTGGGTTCCGACATATGGCGAAAGTGGCATTAAGTCGCACCGTAGGAACGGATCTCCATAACCCAAGGACCTACTGTATTCTTTTTTTTAACTGAAATCATTAATTACAGTGACATAGCTTAGTTAAACTTTGGTTATCCAGATAATATTGCTTAAACCATATTTTTTATTTACTGTGCTTCTTGTGAATTTCAAATATCTGATAAACCCCATACCAAAGCACACTTTTCATTAATATTTCAGTTTGTTATTTAGTTAAAAGTTAATAATCTTAAGTTACTGGTATGTAGGGACAAATAATGTAAGGTAGAATTTATATTATGTGCTTTCTTTTAAAACTTCATTTATTTGCTCCTTTGTGTGAGGCACTTTAAATTTTACAATTAATCTTCGTACTGCCTCAGGTTATTTCAAAGATGATCTTTCACACTGTGTGTTTATGTTTGAAATTTGTATAATTTGTTTTTCCTCGTGAATTTTTAAAAATATTTTTTTATTGATTTCAGCGAACAAGAGAGAGGGAGAGAGAGACAGAAACATCAGCGATGAGAGAGAATCATTGATCATTGATCGGCTACCTCCCGCATGCCCCCTATTGGGGATCAAGTCTGCAACCTGGGCATGTGTCCTGTCAGGGAATCGAACTGTGACCTCCTGATTCATAGGTTGATGCTCGACCACTGAGCCAAGTCTGCTGAGGAAGACAGAATTTTTTAATAGTTTTTCTGTTTACATGCAAATGCTGGAAAAATTTTATTTAATATATGTGTCTAAAAAAACCACTTCGGTCCAGCCATTGTGGCTCAGTGATTGAGTGTTGACCTATGAATGGTTCAATTCCCAGTCAGGGCATATGCCTGGGTGGGGTGCCAGCTCCATCCCCAGTAGGGGGCTTGCAGGAGGTAACCAATCAATGATTCTCATTGATGTATCTATCTCTCTATTCCTCTCCCTTCCTCTCTGAAATCAATTAAAAAATATTTTTAAAAATTAAGAAAGCACTTTGTTTTTAGTGAAGCTGTTATGTTACCATTAGAAATTTTGCTTTATATTTATAGTTAGATTATGCTCAGATTTTAATTTTATTTTTTTTTCTTAATATGTGAACATAGAAACTAAGCATGTACTGATCTGGGAATCACTAGTCTTTCCTGGCTTCTCAGGAACTAGCTATTTAATAATTTTAAAGAAGTGGTGAATGTTTTTGAGCCTCATCTGTAAAATGATTTTTAAAGCCCTTTTGGTTCTAAAATTATATTATTTTTGTTATAATAAAAGCACCATCATTGTCTCTCTTTGACTTATCTTTTCTTAATACTTTTTAAAAAAAATATGTTTTATTGATTTTTTACAGAGAGGAAGGGAGAGGGATAGAGAATTAGAAACATCGAAGAGAGAGAAACATCGATCAGCTGCCTCCTGCACACTCCCTATTGGGGATGTGCCCGCAACCAAGGTACATGCCCTTGACCGGAATCGAACCTGGGACCCTTGGGTCCGCAGGCCAACGCTCTATCCACTGAGCCAAACCGGTTAGGGCTCTTAATACTTTTTGATATGTATATATAACATAAGAACTTAAGTGAAGGTAAGTTAGGATCACAAGATTAATCATTGAAAAATTACGTAACTACGAATATTTCTATGTATATGGAGCACATCTTACTGGGTTCATAGACCTTATACACAGTCACTTCCTGCTGCTTGTTTTTTATTTGTAATAGTATTATAGAAATGTTGTATATATTATATATATTTTCAGACAAAATACATGACTGAGGAAAACATAGAATGTTTATTACTATCTTGTGTTCTGTTTGCTGCTCTTATTGAAGATAAATCTGCCAAAGTCAGAAAAGAGCTTATTAATAAGTTGGGAGTATATTTCTTTCATTCTTTGCTTAAGATGCTTTTATTTAACTTATCGATGTGCAATTAGTTTTGCTTGGCATTTATGGTTTCTCAAAAATATACTATAATGTAAAATATTATGCATCAATTTCTAACTTCTTAAAGCACATTCAGGGGATGATTTTATGTAATTAAAAATATTACATCTAGGGCTTTCATATTTTTCAATGATTTGGGATACTTTTCTGTTATACTATGGGTACAGATTTAGAAAATATACTACCGTATATTTAATTAGCATTTGATAATTTATAGGTTACTTTCAAACATGTTGCCTCATTGTTCTATACAGTATTCTATTTACCTCCATTTCACACATGAGGAATCTTGACGCCAATGGGGTAATTGACTTTCCTAAAATAGGCCATTAAAAATAAACAAACATGAAGCGTTTTAGTCCTAGTCTAGTGCCCTTACCCTATGCCACTACACTTTAGTACCATTATGTTGAAATAGAATGAGTAATTAGGGTGGCATTCATTAGTTATATTTTAAGTCACACTATTTTTTATATAGGTCACATAGTTTCTGTTCAAGAAATTACTGAAATATAATTCTTTTAAAATGTATGATATAGGGCTCTCCTAAGTTTTATTACCATTGTTTTTGTTTGCTTTATCTCCATTAGGTAGACAAACTTTATTTTCACAACACTAGCTTCTATATCATATTACACTAGGGGCCCAGTGCATGAATTCGTGCAGCTTGAAAGAAACTGTGGGCGCGAGGCTGCAGTGGGCACAGGGGTGGGTCTCGGCCCATGCTCCATGCTCCCACCCAGCCCCTCCCACCATGGCCCCCGATCCCCTGTCTGCCCCAGCCCCATTTCCGCCACCGCTGCTCCCACATGCTGACGGCGCCAGCCCCAGTCACACCTGCTGACAGCGTGGAGCCATTGGGGCCAGTGCCAGGCGTGGGTGCGAGCAGGGCCAGTGCCATCAGCTGGTGTGAGTGGTGGCTGCTGCTCCGATCGCCCCTCAGGAGCAGGGGGAGATGGAGAAGCCCTGAGGAGCGATCAGAGTCAGAAGCCGCAGCTCGCACCTGCTGACAGCAGCATGGGCGAGCACCCTGTGGGACCGTGGCATGCAAGAGCAAAGAATTTTCAGTAACCACCAGAGGCTCGCCCCGATAACAGCGACCAGCACCCCGCCTTGTTCTGGCGCCCTCACCTGCTCCACCATCCCACCACAGCCAATGCCCCCATGTTCTGTGCGTGCCCCCTGGTGGTCAGCGCGTGTCATAGCAACCGGTTCAGTTCTGCCGTTCAGTCTATTTGCATATTAGGGTTTTTTATATATAGACTAGAGGCCAGGTGCACAAAAATTTGTGC